AAGATGTCGAAGGTGACCCAACCCGACTTCGCAGTTACTCGTGGGACCGAGATCCCAAGATTAGCGGGGAGGCCCCGTCATCGCAATGTTGAAGCGTAGGATGCGGTACTCGGTGCACTGAGAATGACTGTCTGAAGACTTGGCCACGGCGCCCCGCAGCGTGAGCAGGGGCGTTCCGTCTGTCGCATGGTCTCCGTCGAAAAAGCGCCAGGATGAAATACCCAAGGAGCTTCTTGTTGGCGACGGAAAACGTGTCTACAAACACCACGTTGCATGAATTGGTGGAGGAAGTCCGGGAAGGGTCACGGGCACCCCAATTCAAAGGCCTGCGCGGTAGCCGCACGCGCCAGGATGCATTCAGGAGTCTGGTTGACCCATCTGAATTTCCGAGTCGTTGAGCGCTTGGTGGAGTGCACACTCCAAGAAAAGAGAACGAAAACCTCGCCGCATAAGCTCCCGAACCCGCAGAGCCCAAGCAGCAACAGTGACCATCATGCCCAGGCCCGGTGCCAGCAATCATGCCCAGACATCCGATTTAAGCGGAGGCCAGCAATCTTGCCCAGACACGCAGGCCAGCAATCAAGTGTGATGTCAGAAGGGTGGTCCTAGGGCCCAGGGACCGCTGCGGACCGTGAGCTCGGCACTCACTTCCCGCTCCCGTGCTTTGTGGAGCGCAATGGTCCCGGTTCTGGATGCCACTTTCCGCAAAGTAGCTCTGTAGACGCTGCGGTCTGGCTAGGACACGCAGCCACGGCCGTCCGGAGCGGCGTTGGGGGGTAAGACGCTGGCGCGCCCGCCCGCGGCCCCCAGCTTTCGCCAGAAGCCGCCCACCCCGTTGCCAGGGGTGGCCCTATGTTTTGTGTGTGAGTCCTTTTACTATGTTTGCTTATCTTTTGACTGTTTTTCCCTTGCTCACCTTCCCACCTTTGCGCTGCAGTAGTCCGGGCTCTGCTTGCCATCGTTGCGTGGGCCCCGCTCCTCCGCCAACTGCTCGCCCGCCGCCCTCCCCCGCTCGCAGCGCCACGGCCCAGCCCCCGCCTTCCCACCGCCGTGCGTTGTGGGCCCGGGTGCCCCTGCTATTGCGCGGGTGCGCTCGGCGCTGTCCATGTTCTCCCCATTCGGTGTTGCCCAAACTTGTTGCACTCCGCGTGAATTCGATGTACCTCCCCCGTATCTCGCAGGTCTCGTCGTAACTCGCGGCCCGTCATGGGGGCTCAGGGATGGCTCTGTACACCACTCCTTTTGAATGCCGGACTTTGTTTCGGCGCTTGTTTTCTCCGTCCTTCCGTCGACCGCCGCCGGCCCCTTGCTCCGTTTCCCGTGCCCGTTGCCGTTGCCCCTCCGTTGCCAGTGCCCGTGCCCCTCCGTTGCCCCTTGCTCCGTTTCCCGTGCCCGTGCCCCTCCGTGCCCTGCCGTTTCACCGGCCCCTCCGTTGCCCGTGCCTGTTTTCACCGGCCCTCTATCGCCACCGTCGCCCTTCTCTCGCGCCCTTGCTCGCCCGCCGCCAGCCCCGGGGCGGCGCCCCCCGACGCCTGCCGATGGGCAAGATGAGTACCTGCCTTGGGTGCCCTGCTGCCGCCCCCGCCGCAGCCGCCCACCCTGGCGACGTCGTTCGTCGTCCTCCTCCTCCTCCTCCTCGTCCTCGTCCTCCTCCTCGTCCTCCTCCTCCTCCTCGTCCTCGTCCTCCTCCTCCTCCTCCTCCTCCTCGTCCTCCTCCTCCTCCTCCACCTCCTTGTCCTCCTCCTCATCCTTCTCCTCCTCCTCCTCCTCGTCCTCCTTCTGCCTCCTCCTCCTCGTCCTCCTCCTCCTCCTCGTCCTCCTCGTCCTCCTCCTCCACCTCCTCGTCCTCCTCCTCCGCCTCCTCCTCCTCCTCCTCGTCCTCCTCGTCGTCCTCCTCGTCGTCCTCCTCGTCCTCCTCCTTCTTCTCGTCGTCGTCCTCCTCCTCCTCCTTCTCCTCATCCTCCTCCTCCTCCTCCTCCTCCTCCTCCTCGTCCTCCTCTCCTCGTCCTCCTCTCCTCCTCTCCCTCCTCCTCCTCCTCCCTCTCTTCTCCTCCTCCTCCTCCTCCCCGTCCTCCTCCTCCTCCTCCTCCTCCTCCTCCTCCTCGTCCTCCTCCTCCTCGTCCTCCTCCTTCTCCTCTTCCTCCGCATCCCCCTCCTCCCATGGCCGATGTCTCGTATTTGCGAGGAGACCCGCGCTACCGACATCAACATATGTCCAAGGTGCGGGCTCGAACCAGAATCTCCCCTCCACAGGCACTGGTTATGTACCAAAAACAGCGGGGACAACATCTTCACCGACACCCAGTACCTCCTCCCTCGGGCCCTGACGGGCCAGGACAGTGAGCCGTGATTTTGGTTTCAAGGTCTCATCTCGAGCTCCTGGACTCAGGTGCCTCCAGCAGCATGCGACGAGTCCTGGCAGGTCTACAGTGACAGCCAGTCGGACTCCAGCGAGCCACTTCTAGGTGTAGGGGTTTTCGACGACTCCCGTTTTTGCTTTTGTTGCTGGGGTTCCTGTCGTGATGTTGTTTGCGATGTGGGTTCTTCCTTGTTTGCAGCATCGGATCTCAGGGTTCGCGGCAGGGGGTTTGCAGCCTGCGGCCCGGCCGCTTGGCGGCAGGGGCCCAGGGGTCGCGGGCAGCCCGAGTGGGTTCCGAGAAGGCGGGGTCGGTCGGTGGATCGCTCCGCATCGCCGATGCATCGGTGATGCGGCTGGATGTAAGTCGGGCGCGTCCCTCTTAACAGGAGGAATATTCAAAAAGTTTAGAAAAATAGTTCGGGGACGACTTTAGACTATGTTTGACCATTTTGGGGCATGTTTGGTCTACTCTCATTTGTCATCCAAAATCCGCCTGTAGGAGGACATGCCCGACCTAAAGCTGGACTCTGTTTGGCGCAGCGCGTCGCGCACAGCCACTTAAAGCTGATGTTTCTGGAGAACCCGAGTCTGTGCTGTTGGAAGTGCCGGTCGAAAGCATACAAATCACAGGTGCAACATCAAGGGGCCAGGAGTCCAGGCAGAGTGAACTCTACTCTGCCCGGCCAGCGCGCAGGCGATATGGAGCGGGGGAGGAGCACGGGGCGAGTGAGAAGAGGGGAGGTAAGCGACATAAAGGAGACCCAGTCAGCGAGGTGCTGTCTGACCGCCCACTGAAACGTTCAGGGCTGCATGGGCCACCCCGAACCAGTCTCTCTGCAGGTGTGCAATCGTCCGCGAGGTGTCCCCCGAGACTCGAGCAGGGCCGCAGACCCTGCACAGCTGTGCGCAGCCTCTGGAAGGCATCTGCACGTGCCTGCAGCCTGCACAGGGCAGCTGCACCAGGGTAAAGCCGTGGCTGCCGGTGCCCCGCGCCAGGCGACACGGAGCTGCAAGACCCCCGCATGTTCGGGCGGGCGTTGACGGGGGGTGACGCACATGGGGGGTGAAGAGAAGGGCCCCAAAGGGGCACTTTGGCGCCCCTCTTGGGCCCCTGCTGGCTCCAAGAGGGGCTCGAGAGGGCCCCTTGAGGGCATTTGTCTTCACCCCCCATTTGGATCACCCCCCATTTCGGCGGTGAGCGAGGGGGGGAAGCGAGATGGGGCGGGTCTTCTCAGAAGGCTCGGAAGTCCCCCGGCGAAGGCAGAACAGCTTCTCAGAAGGCGCGAGGGCTTCTGAGAAGTCCCGCCGCCTTCTGAGGAGGCCTTCTCCTTCTCACTTCCCCCCCTCGCTCGCCGCCAACCACTAGCACCCGCCCGACATGCGCGCGCGCCTCCGCGCATGGGGCGCGCGCGGCAGCGCCGGGGTCCGCGCTCGCGCGCGCGAAGCGTGCCGTGCCCGCCCCGGGCCGCGGCAGTCTGCGGGTGCTCCGCTGCTCAGCCCAGTGGCCTCCCCGACGGCGACTGCTCCGCCCTTCGTCTCGGAGCGGGATGCGGCCCACAAGGTCAGCACCCCCAGGGGTGCCCACCGCCGTCGCTCGCTCGGCCAGCTGGATGCTGCAGGCGGCCCGCGATCCCTCGCGGGCGAAGCGCGGGCTGCTCTGGCATCTTCGCCTCGGACCACAGACCCGCCGTGCTAATTCATGATACTGCAGCCTCACAGCTTCAGAATCTCGTGCTCTTCGCTGGCGACGTGGATGTGCAGCATCGCCTTGCAGCTGGAGGTGAGCACTGGTCGTTCATCTGGCAGCTCGATAGCCTGCAGCTGCGCGTTGAGTCAGGTCACAGCTATGGCGGGCTCGCTGCTCGGGCACACTACGAACCCCTTGCTGAGCTGATCCCCCGAGCAACCCAGAACCCTCATCGCGACGTTCTCCCCGCACTGCGCGTACGGCATCTCCTCTGGATCGCCCTTCGTCTTGTTGAGGACCACGGACTACACAGCGTACCTCGGCCCAGCCGGTTGCACGACGTGCTTCTTCTTGGCCCCCTTATGGTCCCGTCCGCCGCAGGCCTTCGGAGCACCATGTTCGCGCAGGCGCTCGCGTGAGGAGCATGTCGCAGGGGCCACGCGAGAGCAGTGTGATCGACCTCGTCTTCGTCCTCCTCCTCCTCCTCCTCCTCCTCCTCCTCCTCATCCTCCTCCTCCTCCCCCTCCTCCTCCACCTCCCCCTCCTTCTCCTCTTCCTCCTCCACCCCCTCCTCCTCCTGCTTTCCCTCCTCCTCCTCCTGCTTCCCCTCCTCCTGCTTCCCCTCCTGCTTCCCCTCCTCCCCCTCTTGCCACCCGTCTCCACCGCTTCTCGCTCTGTGTGGGGGGGGGGGAGGGCGACCCGCGCGCCGCAGCGCCCCCCCCCATGCAGAGGGGAGGGTCTGGGGTGAAGTCGGGCGTGTCCCTCTACGGGAGGAACAGTCAAGACTAGGGTACAGAAGTGGTAAGGGGACGATTTTTCTGGTATGCTGGATCATGTTTGGCGTATGCTTTGCCTCTGTGTTGTTCGTCGTCCACCCCCCCCCCCCTGTAGGAGGACACGCCCGACCTAAGTCTAGGGTGCGCCCCGCGCTCCCCGACCCCTTCCCGGGCAGCCATGGCGCCGGCCGCGAAGCGCCCCTCGGGCTTCGACAACGAGGGGAGGGGGGCACGGGGCTCTACGTTGCGAGGGGGTGGTCGTCCGTCCTCTCCTGGCTTCCACGCACCACGTTTTCACTCTGGGCTGACTCGCCCGTCGTCGTGCCATCTGGCGTGTCGGCAGGTCGGGGCGGGCGTTCTTCGTGAGTTTCCAGCGCAACGTATACCCTAAACGCTAGTTGTCACAACCACCACACTTACTTATGGAAGCCGTTCCGTTTTCAAGATGTCTGGTTCGCTTTGGTGTCGCGCACATCCGCCAATCAGTTTTCCCACAGATGCATGGATGGAGGGCGAGTGGCATTCCAAGTGTGGATATCGTCATTGTTTGCGTTGCCTTGCGCACATACTTTCATAGTCATGTGTATGGAGGTGATCTTTTTTCAAAAAGTAGTTCTCGCCGGATTGCCGCGCACATCACTCGTGAACGTCTGACACAGCAAGAGGGATCGAAGCGAGGCTGTTTTTCAAAGGGTGGCCCTCGCATGTCTCCTCTGCGCTGCATGCACTCGTTTTCAAAGAGGGCAGCAGCCACACGGATGGAGGGCGGTACCTTTCGGGATGGAGGGGGGCTCCTCCTCAGAATGGCGACTTGCGAAATCTTGTCTCTTGGCGTCTTCCCCAATCAACGCTTGCAGCGACTGGATCCAGCAGGAACTGCTGGATTTGGTGGAACTGAGCCGCCGATTTCGGTGGGCCGCCGGGCTCCCATGTTTCAGGCTTCCCGATCCTGTGTTCCAGGATGCCGGATTTGAGTTGTGGCTTGGCCCCCAGTGCTTCGCAAAGATAGACAAACCAGACAGCATTAGGCACATAGTAGATGGTAGAGAGCAGAATCTAGCGTAGAGGGTAGAGGGCAGCAGAAGAGCAGAGAGTGCAGAGCAGATGTGAAAGAGCAAAGATCGAAGAGGCGAGGGTAGAGCGCAGTGTAGAGGCAACCTTCGTTTGTAGAACAGGGTACAGGGTAGACGCTACATGCCAGAGATAACCACACTCGCCATCCCGTGCTCCTGCCCACGATCGGAACACTAATTTGAACCGCAGCGCAGGAGCAACTGGCCGGGTTTTCTCGCGGAGATCCTGCAGCTACATGGGTGGAGGAGGGCAGCTCCTTTGCAAATGGGGCTCTTGTCTATTCGGCAGCCCGACGGGGCGCTCGTCTTTCAAGGGGGAGCTCCCAACAAGAAGTACAAACGCTCGTATGCTTGCAGGGGCTCCCGACGGGAGGGGGTGCTGCAGCGTCCTTCGTACATCCTGAGCCTCCCGCCTGCGGGTGGTCGGGGTAACGGGGCAAGCGCTCCTCAAGCTCCGACAACGAGGGGGGAGGGTGCACTGGCGACCGCAGTGAGAGAGGCTCCTTCGTCCACCTCCTCCGTCTCCACTTCTGGACCCTGGGCGCGGCCCGTCGTCGCCACGGTTCGACGCGGCTCCGAGCAGGTGTCTGGATTAGGACGGTGCCCCGGGGGCGCCTGGGGACCGAGGCCGACCCTCGGGCAACCGAGGGGAGGGAAGCATCCGGCCTTCAGACGTCGTGGGCGTTCGCAGCTTGATGTCTTTGCGGTCTGGCCCCCTCGGGAGCCGCTGCGGGCAGTGGAGCTGGTCTGCCGCGCCCGGAGCCCATCCGCGATCGACGGCGGCGAGAATCGGCGTCGACGACCAACCGCGATGACGACGACGACGACGACGACGACGACGACGACGACGACGACGACGACGACGACGACGACGACCCCCCCTCGCAACGTCCGCCGCCGCCCCGTGGACGGCAACAACTTCGAGCAGGCCGCGCGGCCAGCGCCCCGTGGGCCAGGGGGGGGGATGAGGAGGAGCGACGACGACGACGACCGAGGACGACCGACGACGACGGCGACGGCGAACGACGACGTCGAACTCGATGGCGACGTCGTCGATGACGACGTCGTCGACGTCGACCACTGTCGTAAATCCTGGGCTGCAATCGCATGGAGGAGCGGGGAGGGCAATGGAGGACGAGAGGGGGGGCGCCGGGAGGGGTGAGGAAGCACGGGCTCGCGGTATTCAAGTTTGAATGCACGTTGTCTGTCTGCGCATCCGCTGAGGTCTTCGGTTGTTTCCAGCGTCGTTTCCAGCGCTGGTCCCAATGATAATGGCGTTGTTTCCAGCGTTGGCTCTACTTACAATGGAACAGTATGAGCCGGAAGTTGCGCTAGGAATGCGTTCAAGCGGTCGTCCAGCAAGGGCTCTCGGATCTGCAAACCCACGTGGCCCCCCCCTCTGTCTGTAGCCATTTTTCGGCGGTCTGGATGACAGATGCACGGATGCGAAAGCCACGCGAGTTGCCAGGGACATGGACGCATATCACATGACTCCTTTCGGGTAGGTGCGCGCGAACATTGATTTGATTGCAAGGGCGGGCGACGCCGTCCAAGTGCCACGCGCCAGTCCCATTCCGTACATTTACGAAGTGCCACGGCTGGCCATGTTCGGCAAATTTGCGCTCGATGCGTTCGGGAAACATCCATGTGGGATCGATAAACCGCGGCAGCTAGCGATCCGCACAGACGACGGCGAAGCCAGGGAATGCCATGAAACAGCACAACAAGAGGGGAATCCAGTGCTGCTACAGTTCTGTTTTGAACTTCGGACCCGCAGCATTATGTAAAGAAGACGATCGGTCATGCGTCGCCACCGCGCTATCAACTGACGCATCAAAGTGCGATTCTGGCATGTCATAATTTGTGGGTCATATACTTAGATTGTCTCAGAGGATCTGCTCACGACTTAAAAGTATTTCAGGCGCCACTCTTGATCTACCGAACGGGCAGAGCATTCTTACGTGCGCAAGTTTGTCTTGCGCGTTGGGGGGCGAGTCCGCCCTTCATGCCCTTTGGCAGTGCAAAGGCTCAGGGGGCGTGGTGCCATGCGTGCAACGTGCCAATATCGCCGACAAAAATGCTCTCGTTGCAGAAGCGACTGGCCCTGGCGCTATTTTCAATGATTTTACGGAAGTCTCTGATATTGACTTATGCGCGTTCCAGACCCGCGCTCGGATTTGGACTAGAGTAGACGAGCTGAAAATCAGTAGGTCAACAATGCGAACAGAAAAGTATAAACAACGAGAAATTCGGCTGGGATGGAATGGCACCAGTTACAATATGCTGCATGACCTTTGACTTCGGTTCACGTTGCAAACCAGCGCCCGAAACAAACTGCTCCGATTGGGCCCGCAACATCCTGCAAGGCATATTCCAAACAGTCGTGTCCAATTATTGGCGGAGTTTAAAAAAATACGGCATTGCGGCGTCTCAGATTTTCAAATATGTTCGTGGTTTTACGTGGGCCAAGCGAATTTCGAGCTCCAGCGTCGCAGGTGTCGATATGTTTAGCCCGAAGAGGTAAGATTGCTCATGGAAAGTCATTGGAAACGCTCTAGCGGTGAAGCTCTGTCCATTGCGCCCGTGTCGGCACGCTACTGTAGACGCGTCGTGGTGCCATCTAGGATGCACATCGGACCTTGTCTAGCCTGCGTCGCGCTTCCGAGCCCCATCCAAATGAAGTGGTATGGCCCGAAGTTGCACGTGTCAGCTAAAGATGCCCGCGCCGCAAAAATTGTATGCTTCCAACATTACGTTAGACATGCTGGAACATATCGCATGCTTGGGAAGCCGAATGGGATCTTGCATCGCCCGCAATGCATATATATATATATATATATTCCTCTTCCTATATTTTTGCAAGCCCGGGCGGCCGCAAAACCCCGCCCCCCCCCCCCCCAAACCGGACTCCTGGGATCCTGGGACTTTGGGACCCTCCGGACGCCCATTGAAGCGGTCCCGAGTGCCTCAAGAGCGCTCCAAGACAGGCACAAAGCGCTCCAAGACGCCAAAGATAGCCCCAAGACAGCCTCAGGAGCCCCCAAGACGCCCCAAGCGGCCCCAAAGAAGCCCCCCAAGACGGCCCCGGGAGGCCGAAATGGTCAATTTTCCAATGTGTTTTTCGATGTTTTCTGCTTTCTCGCCATTTTAGCTTTCCGACGCTCCAAGACAGAACTAGAGGCCCTCAAGAGCGCCCCAAGATGGCCCGGGGGGCCCCCAAAACGGCCCCAACACGGCCCCAAGACGGCTCTGGAGCGCCCCGAAACAGCCCAAGAGGCGCCCAAGAAGGCCCAAGAGGGCCCCGAGAAAGCTTCAAACGAGCCCCCACAGGGCGATCAAAAGTTCAAACATCTAACTTTCCGCCCCAAGTGGGCCCCAGGAGGCCCCAGGAGGGCCCCAAGAGGCCCCAAGAGGCTTCCAAAGGCCCCGAGGACTCCCAAAAAGAACCCACGAGGCCCCAAAATGGCTCTCCAAAAGGCAGCCAAAACGGCCCCCCAAGAGGCTTCAAAACTGCTGAATCGCCCCACTTGACCGCCACCTCCGGAACGGCTTCGCTGCGCTGCTCCGTTGTTTGCCAGACAGTGGCATCCCACGCAAAACACCAAAATGCTTGAAATCCCGGGTTCGCAACCAAATTCCCGGGAAATCGGCTGCGAACCCGGGATTCGGCACATTTCCCCGGAATTCGGTATATGTCCTTAGCATTTCCAGGACCCGGTACGTTGCCTGCATGCTTGCTGCCCTATGCCCTATCGCATCCCAGAATAATCGTTCCATGGAGGTTTCACGAGGGCAGCCGCAGCCCCCTGGTCTGTTTCCATATGTGATCGCAAGGCATCTCCGTTTGTCTCACCCCCATGCGCAAGTCGAGACAGCACGCCGCCCCAATGCGTGCCTTACCTTACTTTACCTCATGATATTCCTCCCTTCGCCGCGCCTCCCCAAATCGTCCTCCACTTCTTTCCCGCCCCTTCTGTCCGACGTTTTGTATTTCCGGAGCCTCCACGGCCGCTCTCATCGCCGCTGATCGGTCCGCTGGGACATTCTCATGGAGTCCCAGTGGCGCGCGGACAAGCAAAGCGAGGGCGCGAGCAAGTAAGGTGCAGGTCCGGGAACTGGGCGCGAACCAACCGCGGTTCCAAGACCGTGGAGGGCCGCGCTAGACGCCAACGCGCGCAAGGGTTGAAGGACCAAGGTGCATGGCGCGAAGCGCCAATGCAGTCTTGTGTATATATATACACGCAGACGGGGCCACTCACCGCATGCATTCCCATTGGAGAGGAAGCACAAGCAAGTGTTGAAATGTGGTAACGGTTTCAATAGGGATTGCAGCCGAGTTTGGAATGAAATGGTGTCTCAAAGTTGTTTCTAGGTTGGACTCCTCGCCACGATTGGCTTTGGATGTTGGTCTTGCGAGACCAAAGCAATATCCAAAAAGGGCGCAAGTTGAAGCGTTTGGCCCACACGTCGGGCATCTGTCCGCGCGCCGTGCTAAGCTCAACGCATTCGATTCTGCAGCGATCGGGAACACAGTTGCAATCAAGGATGCGTCTGGATGGATCGTTGGGGTGGTTCCATTCAGCAGCAGCGCTGACATTCCTTACAGCACAGTGCAAGGGTTCGCGTGTGTGGAACGACGCATGTGGCATTCAATTTGGTCAAAGCAAGGGCGCGCCGTCTCTCGTCGCCCTGGAAGATCGCATTGACGTGCTCATTGCGACGGGGCTTGGCCATCAATTGCGCGTGTTCCATACATTGGGACTTGTCGCGCGATGCACGTTGCGCCGAAGTGCACCGCATTGACAATATCAAAGGAAGCGCTCCACTGCAGCGCGCTAGCTCTGGGCGGAAAGGGGCGAGGGGGGAGGGGGGGGGGAAGGGGAGGTTGAAGAGGAGGGGCGGGGGCGAGAACGAGGGGTGGCTAGGAGAAAGAGGGGCGGTGCGCGGAAGGGCCCCATCTCCCGCCCCCCTCCTTTCCTGCTCCCCCTCCGAGGACTGGGAAAGGGTCGGGGGGAGGAGGAAGGGAAAAATAAATCGGCCACATAGCGACCCCCACCCACCCACCCACCCACACACATACACACACACACACACACACGCACACACACACACACACACACAACACACGCACACAAACACACACACACACACCCACGCGCACGCACAGGCACAGGCACACGCACGCACACGCGCACGCGCACGCGCACGCACACGCGCACGCGCACACGCACACGCATACCCTCACGCACACATTCACACACACACACACGAGCACCCATACACACACGCACGCGCGCGCACACACGCGCACACACAACACACACAACACACACAACACACAACACACACATAACACACGACACACACAACACACAACACACACACACACACGACACGCACACCACACACACAACACACACAACACACAACACACATAACACACACAACACGCACAACACGCACAACACACAACACCCATAACCTACACACAACACGCACACACAACACACAACACACAACACACACAGCACACGCACAATAGACGCACACACAAACACACACACACACAACACACGCACACACAAACACACGCACACACACACACACACGGTCGCACACACGCGCACACGCGCGCACACACACGCACACACACGCACACACACGCACACACAACACACACACACACAACACACACACAATACACACCACACACACACACACACACGCGCGCACACACGTGCACACACGCGCACACACCCGCACACACACACACACACACACACACACACATACACACACACACACACACACACACGCGCACACACACACACACGCACACACGCACACACACACACACACGCACACACACACAAACACACGCGCACGCGCACGCACGCGCACGCAAAGTTCGGCACACCCCTGACGCGGATCGCGCCCCATAAAAATTGCAACGTTCGGCCCCAACGGGATAAACCGAAATGTCTCTAAACGCACTTTTGCACGCCCTTCACGCGAACCGTGGCCAGTAGGGAGCTCCATGTGACAGGTCTCGTGGCCTTAGGCTTGGAAAAGCACCAATGCTTAAGTGCTGGCGCGGGGTGTTCGGCGCGTGGACATGCCTACGTCCACGTTGCGATTTCTTCGCTTGAGCCATGACAGTTCTTGTCTGTCCAGAGGGCGAGAACACGGGTTAGCAATGTTACTAATTTAGCTTGTAGATTTTGCCAACATGTGAATTGGGCCTTGCTAGAATCAAATTTCTGTTGGATAAGTATTACAAGTTGTCACGCACAACGTTTGCAGCTATTTGTATGTGCTTGCGCTGGCCATGGTTGCAAAGGGCTAGTAAACAACTGTACAACGGCATGCCAACCACCCTTAATGAAGCTAGCACCAAGCATCCCCTCTACATCTCATTCACACCACTCCCATTCCCAAGTAGAGGTGAGTCGCCACCCCGACCTTGCCAGGACGCAAGAGTCACGTTGATTCGCGGCGCGGAACTCCCACGACTGGCGGTTTGGCACAATTTGCACGATTGGGGCATCTCCCGCGATGGACATATTTTTTTGCAGTGTTCAATGAAGAGGGAACTTTGAGAAAGGATGTACGGAATCGTCGTTGACGTGCTGTTGGTTGGTACTGGTCCTCCTCCTCCTCCTCCTCCTCCGCCTCCCCCATTCTCTCCACCATCCTCCTCATGCCTCCTCTTCCTCCTCTCCCTCATCGTCCTCACCCTCCGGGCCGGGGGCGCAGGACCCAAGGAACCCGTGCCTGAAGAGCGAGGACGCCAAGGCGGCCGCGCGCAGCACCCCCGCGCGCGCGCTGGCCCCGCGATCCCCTCGGCGCTCCGTCCCGTTCTGGCTCGGGGACTCCGGGGCGTCCGGGCCGTCTCACCGCCACGGCTTGCCACCCGCGGCGCCCTGCCCGGCGGCCTTTGCCCTGCTCAAGGTGCCGCCCGGCCTCCTCCCTGGCGGCCGGCGCGAACCTCATTCGGAGACTCAAGACTGGCGTCTTGGGGCCCTCTGGGGCCGCTCTTCGGCGTCTCTTGGCCGCTCTTGGGGCCGCCCTGGAGCGCTCTTGGGCCCCTCTTGGGGCTCTTTTGGGCCCATCGTGGGGCCATGTCGAGGCTTCAGAAGCCCATCGGAAGCAAAAGAGCGAGAAGGCAACACACATTGATGCTCCTTGGGTGTTTGAATGAGTTTGGCCTCTTGGAGGGTGCCAGGGAAGGCTCGACGGGCACTTGGAACCGTTTTGGAGCTGTTTTCAGGCCTCACGGTGGAATGCAGGAGGCTATATCGAATCATCTTCGGCTATTTTGGGCCACCTGAAAGGCCGTCTTGGGCTGCCGAGGGCCCTGTGGAGCCATCTTGAGCCCATCTTCAAACTCCGACGACCCAGGGCCTCCCCCTCCCAGGCCCCGGGGAGGGGGTAGGGCCTGGGGGAAATGTCAAGCTACCCAGCCGTCCGCAAGCCGTCTAGCTCACTCCCACCCGCCTCCCAACACATAAGGAGCACCCGAGCTTGAGCATGTTCAGCGGTCGTCTTTGGATGGGCAGCTACTGGGAAGCAAAGCCGACCCCAGGTGCGCGACGCTTTGGCGAGGTGCGCTACGCGTGCCAGGGGCGCCACCCGCACCAGACACCCCTAGGGCCCGAGCGTGCCAGGCACGCCTGGTGCGCCAGATGCGCCACGTGCTCCGAGTGCGCCAGGTGTGCCGCACATTCCAGCCGCGCCAGGTGCGCCACGTTCGGGGCACGTGCAGAGTGCGTCAGGTGCGCATGCGCACGTGACAGCACACATCGGGAAACATGTCGGCCCCGACCATCTTTGTCGAAAACCAATGCCCATCATTGTGTCTGGTGGGCCTGCGCACAGCTGGCCAGACGCCACCACCCCGCCGTCCCTGTCAAAAAACACTTGACAGTGATCGCGGGGTGGCCGCGCATGATCCAGGTTTAGCCGCGAGGTGCATGTTGTATTGTTTTTTCTGTCAGGGGTGGTAGCCCTGCGCGCAGCAGGGAATATGATGACACCCCTGCCGCCCCTGTCAAAAACAATACCATATGTTTGTGGGCCTCACGAACATGACTCAAGACTTTGCCCCAAAGTGTACTTTGTTTTGTTGTTTGACATGGCTGGTGGGGCGGGCACATGGGGTTCGCCGCGCATGCTCCAAATGGTGCATACTAATATGGGAACAATGATCGAGGCCCCCCCTTCGCCCGCAAGCCGTCTCGCTCACTCACACCCGCCCTCCCAACACACATGTAACAACCGAGGGAGCCTCAGCATATTGCTTAGAAGCGCCACGCCTGCCATATGCGCAGGTGCACCAGACACCCTGGAGGCCCAAGCGAACCAGGCGCGCCAGGTGCGGCACGTGCCCTACGTTTCAGCAATATGCTGGCACCCCCGCCGTCCCTGTCGAAAACCAATGCTAAGTGGTCGCGGGGCGCCCGCGCATGCTCCAGATGCGGAGGCAAAGTGTATTCTGTGTTGTGTTTGTTGACAAGGGTGGTTGGCCTGCGCGCAGCGGGCAATATGACGGCACCCCCGCCTTTTCAAAAACCCATGCGAAGTGGTCGTGGGGTTCCCGCGCATGCTCCAGATGTGGAGGCAAAGTGTATGCCGTATTGTTTTTGGGGCAGGGCTGATTGGCTTGCGCGCGGCGAGCAATATGACGGCACCCCCGCCGTCCATTCCAAAAACCAATGCAAAGTGGTGGCGGGGCACCCTCGCATGCCCCATATGTGGAGGCAAAGTGCATTATCTATTATTTGCTGACAGGGATGATTGGCCTGCGCGCAGCGAGCAATATGGCGGCACGCCCGCCGTCCTTACCAAATACTTGTGCAAAGTGGTCGCGGGGCTCCCGCGCATGCTCCAGATTTGGAAGCAAAGTGCATTCTGTATTTCCAAACCAGCCTGTGGTGTTGGGCCTTCGTTTTGAAGAGGCAGTGCCCCGCGTCACTCCTCCTCTCCTTTCCTCCTCCCCCCTCCTCCTTCCTCCAAGAGGAGCGCCGCCCTCTCTCCTCTAATTTCCTTTCCATTTCGGCGCACCCCTCACACGTTTCGTGGCCCCGCAGGGAGATCCACCGAAGGCCCCAATGGCTGCGTTCGCATGCGCCCACCGCACCCATTTCTGTACACTCTTCACACGCTTCGTGGCCCCATAGAGAGCTCCACCGAAGGCCCCAGTGGCTGCGTTCGCATGCGCCCACCGCGGCACACCCCTCACACGTTTCGTGGCCCCACAGGGAGCCCCACCGAAGGCCCCAGTGGCTGCGTTCGCATGCGCCCACCGCACCCATTTCGGTACACCCCTCACACGTTTCGTGGCCCCACAGGGAGCTCCACCGAAGGCCCCAGTGGCTGCGTTCGCATGCGCCCACCGCACCCATTTCGGCACACCCCTCACACGTTTCGTGGCCCCACAGGGAGCCCACCGAAGGCCCCAGTGGCTGCGTTCGCATGCGCCCGCCGCACCTATTTCGGCACACCCCTCACACGTTTCGTGGCCCACAGGGAGCTCCACCGAAGGCCCCAGTGGCTGCGTTCGCGTGCGCCCACCGCACCCATTTCGGCACACCCCTCACACGTTTCGTGGCCCCACAGGGAGCCCCACCGAAGGCCCCAGTGGCTGCGTTCCAATGCGCCCACAGCACCAATGTCGGCACACCCATTGCACGCTTCGTGGCCCCAAAGGGAGTTCCATCGAAGGCCCCGGCACAACCCTCGTGCGTTTCGTGGCCCCTCAGAGATCGCTACCGAAGAAGATGTTCACCCTTGCGGTAAGCACTGCTGCATATGGCTGGGTCCTTCGCCTGGATGATTGTTTTGACAGGGATGGTAGGGGGGGCATGTCTCGGGTTGGCCCACAGTCGGGTGGGGGAGGGGGTGTATACATACTAAGGATCAGTGACTAACCCCTCCCCCTGGCAGGGGAAGGAGGGGGAGAGAAGACAAAGCTCGTTAAACCACCTGCGCGCCCAGACGGCTGGTGGGATTTGTACGCTAAGACTGTCGTTTCTGCTGCAGCTGCGCACGAGGAGCCGCAGGAAGTGTGGCCCCTCCCCGTTCCGGGCCTGGGAAGCTCAGGCGGTGTTCGCTCTGCGTGGATCCGAAGGTGTCCCTCGCTCCTCGTCTGCGGTGCCTGCGGCCGGCCATGTAGGCTGCTGAGCGGAACCTGGGGCTCGTTCCTTAGAGTGCCGAGGCACCGCTGACCGAGGTGCTCACTGTGCAGTTGAGTGCGCTTGGCCACAATATGCAGCAGGTGGACAGGGTGTTTTTCTGTGCGACGTGCTCGGCCCACACGACCCTTCCAAGTGGGACCTTGCGCGGGCTCGAGTGCCAATGTAAGCGTCGATCGGCCCACCCTTCCACCCGCAGCTCGCAGGCCACCAAGGTCAAGCAAGTATGCTGCCCTGCGAAGGAATCCGTAGACAGGGGTGGTCCTCGACTCTGTCTAATGTACTGTGGTGGGTGGTATTGCGGTTGCGGTGCCCTACTGACTGGCCGTCACCGCAAGCAAAAATGATGGCAGCCCCCTTTCCTTTTCTTTGCCTTCGCGTGTTTCATGCCGTGAGGGTCCCTCAGCATTGCCGAGTCTTTTGACGTGCGCGCCCGTCGGATCGGTTGCGCAACGTCTGCGCGCCCCTCCTCTTCCGCCTCCCCCTTGCCCTCCTCCTCCTCTCTCCTCCTTTTCATGTCCTCTGTCCTGTTCAGTGGGTGGGTAACGCTTCCCCGCTCAGTCACCCTCTGAGATCTCGCCACCCTCTGGGTGTATGTGGCAGGTGCCCCTCGAGTGTTGAACAAATCCTTCTACCCCGGGCTTGCCCCTCGGCCAGTCCCCGAGGCCCGCACGCCAGACCCATCCCTTTGGGTTCGCCCGCCCGGCCTGACCAGCCCGTCCGATTGGACCCGCCCGTCAGGCGGCGCCCGCCCCCCCCCCGACTCGCCCCACAGATCCATGCCCTGCCCGACCCGGCCGGCCTGGCAGGGTCCGCCCGCCCGTTCTCTCTCCATCAGGGTCTTCCCGCCCCGCCTGGCCCGCCCCTCCGAGCTGTACGTCCAGGCCTCCCAGATGGGTCGGAGTTCTGATGGGATCGGAGGATCGCGCCGCATCGCCGAGGCATCGGCGATGCGGCTCTGTGCGGAGGCTGATGTTCTCCACGCCGGCTGTGCCGATGCACCGCCGACGTCGCGGATGTACTGGCGATGCGGCCCGAGCCTTCGACCCCATCTTTGTGGAAGTCGATTAATGGGGAGAGGAAGCATGCTGCGACATAATTTCCAGATGTCTAAGAAGAATTGTCAAACGTGTTTAAAACATGTAGAACATGTTTGAAACAGTTTTAGAACATGTGTTACACATGTTAAACACATCTGTAAGTCAGCGATAGGATTGTTAGAGTGTCCAATGTCATGGCATCCACAGCCCCATCTAGGAGGCCTCCAGTGCTCCCGCTCGATAGGGCCCCGCGCTCCATGGTGCCGCACGCGGGGCCCGACCCGCCCGTCGGGGTCCGCCGTGCGGGCCCGCCCGGGCCCGGCCTGCCTGCCCGGGCGGCGGTCCCAGCCGCGGACGCCCCACATGTTCAAGATTGGGAGGGCTCTGCTCAATCCGCTGGGGTTCGACCCCGGGGTGGAGGAGGAGAAGGAGGAGGAGGGGGAGAAGGAGGAGGAGGAGGTGGAGGAGGTGGAGGAGGAGGAGGAGGAGGTGGAGGAGGAGGAGGAAGAGCAGGAGGAGGAGGAGGAAGAGGAGGAGGAGGAGGAGGAGAAGGAGGAGGAGGAGGCCCGCCCCGCCCGGCACGCCTGCAGGGCCCGCCCGCCCCGTAGGCTCCGCCCGCGCCTTGCAGAGCCCGCCCGCCCCGCCCCCGCGGCAAAATCATCGGTGCTTGCGCGCCCGGGCGTGGTCCTTTGCGGGGCCGGGCTCCCCGGCGCGAACTGCCGAACGGCCCCTGCAGCGGGACACTCCGGCAGCACAGCTGGCCGCCACAAGGATCCTCGAACCAGCGCTGACCGCACAAAGGCGCCCCCGCAAACGCGCCGCCCGTGCGGGTCCGCGCGGCCCGACCCGACTCGGCGCTCGAGTTGTGGTCTGCGGGGCCCTACGCTTGAGTGTTCCCGCCCGTTGGATCGAGCCCGCCCGTCCACAGGCCAGCCCCAAGGCCTGCCCCGCCCCTGGGACCTCCGTGGGCATACCCCGCTACCTTCGCCAGAGGCCGACCCGAGGCGTACCCTGGGGACCTAGGGTGGACCCTGCCCTGGGCGACCCCAGGGGAGGCTTTGCCCTAGGCTACCCTAGGACCTTGGGTAGGCCCCCGCGGCCTATGCCCAGAAAGGCCCCCCCCGAAGATTTCAGATCTTCGGGGAGGAGACCCTTTGGTGGAGATGCTGGTCCATCGTGGGGTAAATTCAAGCATCGGTGCATTTCCGAATCGTCGTTGCTCCCCTGTTGTACTCCTTCGCGCTAGGCGCCAGTGATTTCCCAGGGTTTCGTTTGGCCTCGTCAAGCAGCGTGTAGGAACCCTCCGAACCGAAGATCTGTCAACTCCCACGGAGCGCGGTCTTCTTTCGCGCTCGCGTGTGTTCTGCCCGTGTCTGCTTCAATGGCAGGTTTATTTCCGGTCGTGCTGTCCGCGTGCGTCTGAAGCGGGTTCGCGGATTCTCACACGGCCAACGCGGTTCATTCGGGGGCAACGATAGGGGGGGATAGGCATAGTGGGGGATCCATCGACCCCCAATCGCCCACTGATCGCTGATAGGGACCCGATAGCCCCAACCCGCCCAGGAAGGTGCGGATTCGTTATCGGAGGCCTTTCGCCGACCTATCGACGCTGTATCGCCGATTCCAGGTCGATGCGTCCCCCCCTTTGGTGATTCCCCCGATCGTTGCCCCCCATTCATCGTTTCGCAAACATTGGCCTGCCGCTGGGGGGGTGTACGACATTGCTGCCACATGCCGATTCAGATGTCTTGCCAGACGCGTCCACGCCACGTGCAGTGACATTCATTGTGCCCAAAGCCCCTCTGATTTCGACGCGCGTCCTTCTCCTCATCAAGTTCTAGCCAGAATCCCGAGGGAGACCAGCCGTGACGACGAGAAGCCTTTTGAAGGCCCCAAAACCGTCCGAAAGCCTCGGACCCCGATCCTCTCGAGCCTCCTGCCGCATGCACTTGAGTCATTCGCCCTGCTCTGGTGCTTGAGCACCCGGGAGGTCCCGTTCGCAGAGCTCCTTGAGCAGATCTCGAAGTCCAAGGCACCGCCGCTCGCGTCTGCTGCCGCCACTTCTCGACCTCGCGCTCGAGTGCCATGGCGATGTCGTCCCCCCACTCTGCCGTGTCAGCCCTCTGCGGGCTTGCGGAGGCCTCCAGTGGCCTCTGGGGGCTTCCGGGGAAGCATGAGCTTCTCTTGTGTTAAGTCGGGCCTGTCCCTCTACAGGAGGAGTCTTCAAACATAGTTTTAAAGATAGTCTGGGGACGTTTTTGTTCAACTATCTTTGACCAGTTTGGACTATGTATATTTCACGTTTTATTGTTCGTCCTGGCTCCCTCTGTCGGGGGATATGCCCGACTTAACTCTTGTACCCTCTCGCCTGGGCATGTTCTGCCTGGCCTGTGCTGCCCTGCTCTGCCCGTCGTTGTCCTTTCCTGCCCGTGCACCGTGTCTTCCCGTGCCTCGGGTCCGCGCGCGCGCAGGTCATGACGCCAGCGTTAAGTCGGGCACGTCCCTCTGCAGGAGGAATATTCAAATTCACACACAAAGTCTGGGGACGATGTTTTGACTATGTTTGACTGGTTTAGAGCATGTTTGGACTATGTCTCATGTTGCGTCCAAAAGCCGCCTGTAGGAGGGCATGCCCGACCTAGCACCAGCGCGAGGGCACGCGCGCACGCAAGCCCGCGAGCCAGCCAGCGGCTGCGCAGGAACCGAGTGGCATGTGATTGCCTCGGGCAGGTCAGCCTCGGGGTGTATGTCTGCTGGTCGTTGGCCCTTCCTCCCACCTTGCCTCTGGGTTGTGGGCAGGACGCGTCTTGAAGGCACCTTCGGGTCTCCTGGGAGGCCCGTTGGGGGCGGGGGCCTCTTGGAAACTCCGCGCGGGCCCCAGGGGGCCTCGCCGGGGCGTGTCCTGGATCTCACTGCCATTTTCTCCCCCGTCTCCACCCTTCGCCTCCTCCGTCGTCGGCCCCGTCCGCCCCTCCCATCTCCGATCCCATCCCCCATCACACTTGCCCCCCCCCCTCTGCCCTGCCTCCCACCTCGCCCTCTCGCCTCCCGACCCTTCGCTCACCTCCCCCTATCACCGATCTCCCTCCCATCCCATTCCATCCTCTCCGCTCCCACCTCTTGCACGTCCCCGTCCCTTCCATTTCCCTCCTTGCCCGCTCTCTCCTCTACTGCCCTCTTTCAGTGCTCGGTATAAGTACTTCTCAGAAGGAGTACTACGATCCTCTCTCCCCTGAGACTGTCTTTACATTTACGTCCCTATCCCTCGCGCCAGTTTTGCACAGGATTGGCCCGAGTTGGTTCGGCATTACATGTTTTACTTCGAACGTACTCGGCCTTTGAAAGATGACGATCCCGCTGCAGAGTTGGTCACATCCCAGGGATGGCGCCCTGCTCGCGTCGTTCAGGATAGCGCTCTCGCCCCAGCGCGGACGGCACTTCTGGATCCGATTGCTTCCTCGTCGTTGCCGCCCTCTCCTTTCCCATCCTCCGCCGTCGCTCTTCCTGCTCCTCCACGTCCTCCTGCTTATGGCTCCTGCGTGTTCCTCCTCCTCCCCCTCGCCCTCCTCCTCCTCCTCCTCCGCCGCCGCCTCTTCCTCCTCCTCCTCCTCCTCCCTCATCAGCATCCTCTTCCTCCTGAACATTGTTTTGATCATCCAGCACCTCCATCTCAATCGTACTCGGCCCCCTGTCTGATTGCGCATACACGATGGGGCCAGTCTGGGGACCACGGTCCTCTAGGAAACCCCAGTCGACGGACAGAAAAGACTTCAGCGAAATGAGAAGGGGCGGGCGGGGTATGACGTCAGACATGGCGCGAGCGCACCTAGCTTGCTTCCCCCCTCCGTGCCTCCCCCTACACTTCTCTCCCCTTCCTCCTCCCCCCCTCCCCGCCCGCTGCCAGCTCCCCCGCTCTGCCAGTGGAGGTGGAGCACGCTCCCGAGCCACAGGCCCGGTACAGGCCGCCGAAGCCCTGCTGGCAGGAGTTCCGAGCTCGAACCTCGTCAGTTCTGACCGCTCTGCTGGACGCCTCCTCCTCCTCCCCCTGCCTCGGGGCTCAAGAGACGGGGGTCAATGCAGACAGGGGGTCAGCCAGAGCGCCGGATCTTGCAGGATCCTGCAGGGCCAGGGTCGCACTGACCCGGGCTCGGGTGCAGGATCCTGCAGGATCTTGCAGGATCCTTCGCATTGACCTGGGCTTGGGTGCAAGATCTTGCAGGATTCTGCAAGGCTTGACTGCCCCGTGTCTGGATTGATCCGGGTCAGAAGATCCCCGACCATTGGACCGTCCTTCGACTGCGCATACGCAAGAGTGACCTCAGCGAGACCTCGGAGCGACGGGGCGCCAGAGGTCACCCGAACGCCGCGCACCAGAGATCACTCTTCCCAATGGGTCATTCTTGCGTGTGGCCGACTCGTCCCCCCGTCGTCATCCACCACTCGGTTTGAGGTTGTCCTCCTTTGCAGCAGCATCTCCCGCGCCGAATCCTGACGGCTCTGGCCCCCCTCCCGTGTTGCCCTCTCAGGGCTGGATTGGTCGGACTGGCACTGTTCGCTCGCTCCTCCTTGGTACATTTCAAACAGTTACTGCGCACCCGCGTTGTATATCGTCCAGTTGTACTTTCAGATTGGCTTGCCACTGAGCTTCTCATAGTGATCTGGCGTCAGTTGATCCGCCCTGCCTGCTCCCCGTCTTCCTTCTTCCAGTCTGCCTTCGTGTAACGATGTCGGGGCCCATGCACGTTAGGCACCCTATTTGTGTGTATGTGTGGAACACCGCGCGTGTGGAAACCCATGTGCGGAATCATACGTATTGAGCCCCATGCACCTGAACCCCATGCGAGTGGGATCTTTCTATGTGGGACCCCATATACTCCAGTGCGTGTGGGACCGCACGTCCATGGTCGAACTCCGTACGGATGGAACACCATGTGTGTAGAACCCCGTGCTTGTATCTATGGATGTGAAACCATCTATGTGTGTGGAAGACTCCTACGTCGAGCCACATAGGACTAGATTGTTGGATGTTTACAGCCTGCCGCTGCAGGTGCTCTTGTTGCAAGGACGCATTCAGCGCGATTCTGCTCGCCGCTGCCTCTTTCGATAACAGCTTGCCAGTACTCGCTTAGGTGCGTGATCTGTGCATGCGTCGTCCCCCTTCTCGCACCTGCTCCTGCATCTCGCGCGTTGCCCCTTACGATCGGTTGCGCCTGGCCCAGTTTCTGGCCCAGTGTATTCGGAAACTTGGTCAACGTAGCTGTACACTTCCATCGTGGTGTTGACGGGACGGCCCCCGCCGAGGCAGAGCACAGCCCAAGCAGCGCCCTGGAGGCGCATCAAATCCACATGCATGAGGTTGTGATCTTCTCTCCTGAGGCGGCCGCTGACCGCTACAGTTTTGAGGATCCGCTCATCGGTGGCGGAGGAGGACAGGGGGGGCGGCGAGCTCAACGTGGGCGGGGTGTTCGTGTTGAACACTTGGCCGCCCAAGTTGAGAGTCTCACGTCGGCAGTGAGGCAGCTGGCTCAGTCGTCGGGGGCTCATGTACCCGCTGCTGGACGACCGAAGCCTGCTCATAAGCCGAAGCCGCCACGAGAACAGCCCAAGATCTTGAAGCAGAAACGGACCCTCCTCAGGCAGGTGGACAAAGCAGGCGCGAACCCGACACATCAGCAGGTAGTCAAGATGTTGAAAACAAAATGACTGGCGACCAGCAGAATTCACTTAAATTTGGGGGGATTGGCCAGGGATCGAGCTCGCCTGGGACCCCCGCGACGAAGAAGCAGACCGCTCCCGTGCCAAAGCTGGTGCAGTCGGAATGGCCAGACAGCCGCGGGCCGTCAATTCGATCAGCGATCGCACATACGCCGAGCCCCCAGCTGTGGTGTATGTGCAGGAGCTGAAAGATGCGACGGTGTGGTTGCAGGCGTCAGCGAGGACCGACGCGACCTGTCATCATTCTCAATACGGCTGATCTGGATGTTGAGGCGACGTGCATTGAAGCTCTGACGCATACGGATGCAGGTGTCACACCGACGTCTGTTCAGATGATCAGGACTGGATCCAAAGCTGCAGAGCCTCGCCGAGTGTCTCATGGAGTGAAGGACGACAACACCATGAAGGTACCAACGTGTCCGGCCTCGGTCTGCCGGCTCACATCAGCCAAGGAATTTTGCGCGGATGACCTTTACGGCAGGGCCTCCCAGAGCCCAGTGAGTCTTGCCTCGCTTGCGTTCAATTCGACCCTGTGCCAAGCTATTATACGCACCAAGGGCGCGATCAACTACGGGTCAGAGATCACGGCGTTGTCGGCGGTAAAAACGTCGGGTGCCGAACGCTTCATGAAGATGGATTTGCCGAAATCTCGAGAAGGCGACGATCATTCCAAGATGGTTCAAAAGACGAGAGGAGGAGGATGCGGACACCTACCTGATGAGAGCCCGCTCGTTTGCAACACCTGCGGAGGGCCGCTTGGCCCGCCGCCCCCCCCCTCGCGACGCCCCGCTCGGAACGTCGTCGGGCGAGGTCCCGGCCGCGCAAGATGTTTTACCGAGATGGAGTGCTCAGCGTACCCCAGCGGAGTGGACTGGCCCACTGCAGGTACAAAATTGGGCAGCAGATAGAGGTTACCTGAATATCACGGATATTGCCATGACGAACAGGCGACGCTTGTCCCTCCGAGCTAATCTCCCTGCCTCGAAGGGAGCAGCCGATGCCATTTACAGTTGCTGATCGGGGATAGCATTGTCTTTGGAGAAGGCCACGACGCGGGCGCGCCCCAGACCTGGAGGAACCGGGCCCCGCAGTGCGCGCGGAGCGGCAGCTCCGAAGCATGTGCCATACGAACCAGCCGTTCTCTCGGATGACGCGCTCAGTGGCCCTCGTCTTCCAGGAGACGCTGTAAGCCTCCAGGTAAACGCCGACCCCCGCCTCCTGGGGACACTGGTCCTCCTCCCAAAGTACCTTGCGCGCGAGATCAACCCCTCCTTGGCGCCCCTACATGGATGAGGCGGATAAGGGTGGCGTTGGTGGCCGTTTCTTCCTCTGCGCAGGTTTCCAGACACCTGATTGGCGGACAGTTGCGAAGCCTCTCGCAGATGATGACGCGAAAGTTGGAGGCCGTGCCCAGGCGGCAGTACGCCAGAAAGTTGCGAGTGATATCAACCAACATGTGCAGTATTATATAGCTACAACGAAGGGTCCCGAGCGCCTCGGCACCGCGGGTAATCGCGTTGACGCGCTGGGGGGCCCGTGCCACATTGCCACATCGTCGAGCATGAAGGTCGACATCTGCATGCGGCTGTTCACCGATGGCAGATGGGCACTCTTCACGGGCCCCAGCACCTAGTATAAGAAGGCCATCTGGGTCACCCTCAACGACAAGCGCGACATACTGCTGCAGCGGAAGCCCTCCACCATGGCAGGCGCGAGAAGGCCGAGAAGGAGTGGGGGGGGTGCCCTCCCTTACCCAGACGCATTCACTGGGGGAGGTCGATCTTTGCCTTGGCCGCAGCAGCTTCGAGTGGATCATCTCGGCGCACGCGCGAAGCGGATGCCCATCGTCTCTTCGGATCGTTCAGGTCAGAGGCGCAGGGCGCATAGAGCTTCTCCAGACGGGCCAAGTCCATGTTCGCCGCGGTTGGCACCGACCAACACCCAAAGCACCAGACAAGACCGACGCGGACTTCGAAAGCCTCTTCGGGGATCTGGATCACGATGACGACCCGGGGTGCAAGACTCCAGACAAGCACGAGAAGGCGGCGCACCTGCGCTGCCCGAAGCGCGGCCGGGGACCGACGAATGCCGCGGCGCGTGCGAGGGCCCGGACTGCTCGAGCGCGCTGGCGCTATTGCACAGGAGACACCTCCTGGCAAGGCGCCTGCTGCCCGGCGACTCTGCACCACGCAGTTCGCGACCGCGGCCAGCACTGAGGCGCAGAGAGCGGAGGCGCCGCGCCGTCGCAGAGCATGGCATCAACGTCTGTCCCCCGAGGTTCAGGATGCCACTTGCACTCCTTTGCAGCGCGCTGCCCATGCCACGGCAGGGGCGAAGTGGCAGTCCACAGAGCACGCTTGCCGACATCGTGGGACGGCGTGCGCGCTGGCAAGCACGAGAAAGAGGATCTGCACAGCCAGAGAGAACAGGGAGGAGCTCAATGCCATCATGGCGCTTGCCGGCACGATGGGCGAGGAGAGGTTCCAACGGACGCGCGCATCAGCCGAGCTGAAGGCCAGGGCCTGGACGGGGAAGCCAGGCATCAAGCAGCATGTAGCCGACAAGCAGAGGGAGACGATGAGCAAGCCAGGCATGACGGCGAGGTATGCTAAGTGTGCTCGGGAACGATATCAGGCGTCCAAAGTTCGATTGGCTCAGCGGGAAAGGGGGGGCATCGGTTGAGGAGGCGGCCAGCGGCGGCCGCGGCTTGACCACCGTGCCCCACGCATGCACCAGCGCCAGCACGGCCACATCAAGTTGAGGAGGAGGCAGCACTATCTATCGGTAGGCATTGCTTCTCAGACACGCCAAACATGCACATCAGTTCCGGATCTGCTGGAGAACCACGCGACGTCGCCACAGCCCCCAGTTCACTCTCGCCGGGTTGCCCGGGGTGGAGTTACTTCCCCTTGCGGGCCCCATGTGCCCGAGGGGAGGCAGGCGCTGGGTGCGGGAATCCATTGTCAGAACGCCCGGTCCAGTGGCGGACCGCGGCGCGTCGCAACGGACACGGGCGGACACGGAAATACCGGATAAGAACGACCTCTTGCGGCGAGGGGGAGATGAGAGCTCCGACGAGCCAGTGGAAGCGAGTTGCCGTATTTCACCCATCAATGCGACAAGCTTATCCAATGCCCGATTCGAGCACATTATGGACCTTGCAGACCCAGATGACGACGTCATTCTGTTACAGGAGATCCGCCAATAGTCTGAACGACCCAAGTGGATCCTGGATTTTGCCAGACAGCGAGGGCGGGGATGTGCTTGC